CTTCCACACATGCCTTCTTTCTTGGAGGTTCCTCGACATCATTCTTTTGCTTCTCTTCATCCTCTTCTACCTTTCCAGTCTCATTTTCTGGCAATTGTTTGACTTCACATGACCCTTCGCTTGGTACTTCTTTCTCATTCACTTGATTTTTACCGCCTTCACTTACTTCTGTCTTATCCCCATCCTCTTTGTTTTCCTCTTCCTCGTCATTATTACCGCCTTCACTCACTTTCGTTTTGTCCCCATCCCCTTTGTTTTCCTCTTCCTTGCCGTTATTACTCTCACCTTCCTCCTCATCCTCATCATCACTATAGGAAAATGTAACTTTTTTGTTTATTGGTTTCTCAATCAACCCAGAAAGACTAACTTTCGAACCAGTCCCCTGCATTAGCTCCTCAAAAAACTGTAACACAAAGAGTTATATAGTTAAAAAAAACACTCCAAAGATTTAAAGAGCTACTCAAACTTGAGAAAACATTACAACCCTCTTAAGAAATCTAACAAAACCACTTTTTTTATACATAAATTTGATTCTTCTTTCTTTTGGCAATAAGCACACAGAACAATCAGAAGAAAACCCAATCTAGGTCTTTTGAGATTTCTACTAGAGATACCAGAACAAAAGCTAACAGAGAAGGAAAATCACAAGGAGCCCCAGAATCAAAAGGGCTAATTCAGTTGTTGAAGATAAACCGATACGTTAAAAGAATAAATTGTATGGCAGAAACAGTGAAACAAAGCAAAAGATGAACAAACTAGTAGGATATGAAATCAAATCAATTGAAAAAAAAAAGAGAGAAACTTTACGGAATCAATGACGTTAAGAGCTTCTTGAGAAGCTTGGTGTTCGCGTCCACCATCGCAAGAGATGAAGAAACCTTGAACTCCTGGTTTCAAAGGGTAAGCTCCCTTCTTCTTCGCTGGTCTCTGCACCAAAAACAAATCAAACAAAAAGTGACATTAGCCCCAGAAATTCGTGAAAAACAAAAAAAAAAACCAAGTGTGGGGAAATAGGATTACATTCTGAGGGAGATAACGCTGCTTTCTCTTCTTGCTCTGGTCGCCGGTAGCCATCGTCGGAGATCGTAAGGTTTTTTGTTTTGTTTGGGAGTTAAAAACAGAGTAACAAAGCAAACATTCGTAGGTCATGCCCGAATGGGCCTTTTAGGGCTTTAGTCTTGCTTGACCCATTAACCAAAAATTTCGATTTTTTTTTCATTTTGCCAAAAACTAACCAAACAAATAAAATAATTAGCAATCTAACCAAAACTTTC